CTCCTGTTTTCACACCTCTGTACTTCCCTTCCTCTACTTGGTTCTCCACAAAGCCATCAAAGCAGTGGTATTAAAATGCAGAGTTGATGGTGCCTGTCTCCTCTTTGCAGGCTTTTCAATGGCTCCCAGCATGCACACTGGGATCTAACTCAGCACACCAGGCTCAGCACTATCTGATTCCTGACTGCCCTGGGTCCATTTCCTATTTAGCCCCTCCTCAAGTCAGGCTGTCCTCTTTAATTTCTAATTTGGTTAAGTCCTATTCTCTCTCAAATCTCAGCTAGATATGGTCTCCCTAGGCCTTCCTGACCTCCCACTGGGATGCACCAGAGAGTCGGCACACATCACCATTGCAATTAATGATGGATTGTGTCAAGCGCCCTTTACTCCTATAAACTCAATTCCCAGAGTCCGGACCATATTTACCTTGTTAAATGCACCCTGAACTGACCTTAGTGCCTAACACTAGGACATAAAAAAAGCTAACAAATATTTGTTTGAGTAAGTGATTTTTCACATTCCACATATGCATGTCTGGAGACCCTTACAAAAATAAGAAGATAAAACCTCCTATGTTGGATATCCTTAAACATCAACTCAATATATATGATACATCAACTCACTACTTAAGATCAATTACCACCCTGCATTACTACTAAATATCTTAGAAAAGATCTTGTATGTAAGAGAAAGTAAATAGGGGTGACTAATGGAATACTTTGATAAGTGCTTAAACTTTGGTAAGACCAAGAGTGTGACTAAAAACTCCTACTTAGTGATCTTCAGAGTTTGGGACTTAATCAGAAACTGAGGGGTATCCAGACGTCCAGTGTAACACATTAGTTTACAGTGTGTAATACAATTATTAGGCACTGCTGGTGTCTGCTCAGCAGTGTATTTCTCTGATGTGCAGTCTATGTGGGAATCTGAATTGTACTCCCAAGGGGTAGGGGTGTCGGGGCACAAAAATCATCATTTATACATCTGGGTTCGTCTTGAGCTGGATGAGTAATCAGAACGGCATCAGATATGTTCACAAAGGAAAAGCAAGTAGTTTAATAATATATGTATGGAGAATTCACATGGTTATAAATTTTAAAGGATAATTGGAGCAGAGCAGGAATATTTATCCTGTAGTTTAGTACTTACTGCATCAAGAACAGAGGGGAGATTTCATGTGACCCACAGGAACAGGATGACCTCCTCCTTACTGTTTCATGTAGACAGAGAACATATTTTTTGATCAACTAGAACTGGTTGAGACCCCCAAACTACACTCTTCTAAGTCATGAAAGGAAGAGCAATGATTTCTTCAAGTAGGAAAAAGGCAAAAGACCTATTAATTTCTTCATTGATTATGGAAAAGCAAAGACTTAGGCAAGAACTGAAGCATCTCTTAACCCTCACTACTTTTAAGTAAAGTAACCTGCAATCTCTAAGTAAAGGCAGCAGGTACCCAGGGCCTGGATTAACCTCTAGTTTCCACACCAAGGTGATAGGAGACTACTCTGGATCAGTTGAAAAATGTCTGCGTGGCCCTTTTGTGGCAGATGATTCCACAGGGATCATCAGGCTTAAGAATCAGGCTCAAGAGGCGTGTGGTCTAAATGTCATATCAAGTCATGGAAGGAGAAAGAATGTCCTGAACGAACTCTACAGGTTTTGTGGGCTCTACCCCCACCTCCAGATGCTGGACCTACAAATCCCATCAATACCAAAGAGAAGTGTGCTGGGACCTGAGGTTTGGCTGTAAAATTGGACTTGTGGGCTTTGGGGGTTCTTGGCCTTGTGGCTCACGGCTTGTCTCTTGGCTCTTCACTGGCTGTCAGTGTGCTCTTGGGGTTCCAGGTCAGCAGAACTGGTAGGACACATTAATAAACTTATCGCTCTCTTTCCCTGAGTTAATCATTTCTCTTTTCCTTTGTAAATAAACCCATTATTATTAACCTTTTTGTGTGTGCCTACACTTGAATCTTAAACACATGGGGAGGACTCACAATATGAATTGGGTTGCCCTGTAACAGTCTCACTGACTCAATGTGAAAGCTTTGACAAAATAGTCAGAAATCAGCAGCTTAAACAGTATCTCATAGGTGATTATGTTTATCTGTCCTTAGACACATTTTCAGTATACGAAAGTAATTTTGTTCACTTCCTTAATCATGTGCACTTTCTGTTAAATTGATCTCATCTAGACTGCACGTGTTTCCCCATAGCTTCAGCTTTAATGGCAGTAGTTGGACTAAATGGTGGCAAAAAACATTCACAGAGCAATCAAAGTTATGTTTAAACTAAGTAAAAGCCTCTCAAATATGAAATAAATAGGTTTTTGAGTGGTTAAGGTGGAGCTAATTAAGTAAACTAAGTGTTACTAACTGAAAATGAATTGATATTTTTAAACAAAGCAAGATGATTTAAGTAGGAACATTACTTTATAAAATAGGTTTTGAAGTTGGGGAAACATCCCCAGGGAAGATAACAACTTACCATTTGTGAACTACTAGATGAAAAACATTCCTTTTTATACAGTTATATTAAAACTATACAAATGAAATAAGGTAAAATAAAACATTCACAAAAATATTGCCAGTATCTATGAATTTCTAGAAAGTCCCACTTATGCCCAAAGCCAAATTTTAAAAAATTACAATCTGAAAATCTGACTTAAATTCTAAAACATTTCTGAACTTGAAAGAACAGAAGTTCTTTTGTGTATAAAAGTTATTCACAAATTCTAATTCTATTTAAAAGGCTAATAAAAGTTCAAAGGTGCATAAAAATCACAAAGCTGCCCTGTCATTTGTATACAAATCTAGGAAACTTAGTGCCTGGAGATACTTATCTTTGACCTTCTATGCTGATGCGCCCCATTCTCCTTACAATAGAGAACACTAGGAGCAACAGTGGCCAGTCAATTGCAAATGCACCCTCCTGGTTTCTTTTGTGGAAATTGCACCATAAATAATTTTAGAGAAACATATTTAGAACTCCTTTTAGTGCTACCTTTCATATTTTCAAAAGGTAAAAATCTAGTTCACTTATTATAGCAACTCCTTTTTACAGATGTCTCTAAAGTGTTAAAAGTATATTTCCAGAATGTGTTATATAACATATTTAAAATATCTATACCTAATGTTCAAACAGTCCTTTTTTAAGTCTTTTTTTTTTTTTAATGGACAATTACCTGACCTGGTTTTGTGGAGAGGATATTTGTGAACCCTCATCCTTATAAACATATGTACCTTTCTCTGAACCAATACTACTGTGGTATTGGGCTTTAGGATTCTGTCACTGAAGCCTAAAGAAGACTTCCTTACTTGGCACAACTGTAGGCATTGACTTACCGCAAATATCAGAGGAAGTGAAGTCAAAGCTTGCATTCTGTAGAGCCGGAACTCTGTGTCTACAGTCCTGGCTCCATCTGCCTGCTACAGGGCAATTGGTAGGGGAAAGAGAGGAATGAATTAAAGCATCCTTTTAAACAGGCCTAGATCATATAAATCACTTCCCCAAAAGTCCCCTTAAAATCTGAGAAAACTAGTACATCATTAATCAAAGTTCAGTTAAAGTTTACTATCGCAAAAGTGGGGAGTAGACTCAGTGGAGTCTTGGCAGGATCTGGAACAGGTGTGTCTGTGCTGTAATTCTGATTTAATTGTAGCCGCCTGATTTATTGAACGCTGGCTCTTCAGAGACTAGAAGATGAACTGCTTCCCTTCTCCATAGAACGCATATATTTTTTAAGGCCACATGGGCAAATACAAAATGGATATAAAATGCTTTAGTCCTCCCAGCATTTCAAGGCTTTTACTAAGGAATTCCCACTCCCCCTGTCATATACCTCTCAGGACAACATTTTCTCACCTTCTCATTCCCTCACTCATCCCATTACTGCTCCAGCTACCTCTGGTCAACCACTCGATATGATGAGGAAAATGTTTTGAGGCCAAATCACAAGATCTTAGGCCTAGAAGAATATGGAGTTTCCACTGCTTTCTGAGAGAATCACAGATATTGGCGACAATGGGATATAGAATCTGTCCTTTATTTGGTTGGTTGGGCATCAGCTCCAGTTGGGAACTGGATACTCTGAGTTTTATGTCCAAGAATAGGATGGGAATCCCAAAACTGGTCACCTTTCTGGTGAGCATTGCTCACCTTTTCGGTGGGGTGAGGGATGAGCAAGATGATGAAAACCCAAAATTGCCCGGCTCTGCCACTACCTAATTTCCTGTCTTTATGTGCCTGACTTTATGTAGTTAGGGTAGAGATAGTGAGGAGGTTAAACTGTCTGTGAAGCTTGCTAAAAAAATAATGGACTAATAAAGATTGAGAAAACCAGAAAAGTAGTCAGCAGATGTTCTGGAAATCAAAGAGCTGGGATTACTGCAGCCCTATGTTTATTGCAACTCTATTTACAATGGCCAAAATATAGAAACAACCCAGATGCCCCAAAAGAGATGAATGGATCAAAAAGTTGTGGTATATTAACACTGTGGAATACCACTCAGTGATCAAAAAAAAAAAAAAAAGACAAAAAAGACAAACTCATACCATTTGTGGGAACATGGATGGAGCTGGAAGGGATTATGCTCACTAAATTTAGTCAGAAGGAAAAATATAAATATTGGATGTCTCACTATATGTGGAATATACAGAAACCAAGCAAAAGGTCTTCAAGGAAAAAGGAAAAAGTAGCACATTAACCATAGGTCTAAGGCATACAGCAAAAGAAGGTGGGGTGTGTCAAAATGGGAGAGGAAAAAGCACAGAGGATATGGTATGGTTCACAGTGACATGGTAATAGGAGAACTAAGGAAACTATGGTGATATAAGAAAAAAAATTAAAGGAAAACCGGGGTTGAATTTATTTAAGAGTAGGAATATTTTATTGCCAGTGACAATAATGAAATGCCTTGTACCTATCATAGATTGAACATCCTACCTGGACAGATGTTTTCTGGTTGGAATGGGGACATCATTGTTTCTTCTTTTCCCAGGTGTTGGACTGGATTGAAAACCATGGTGAGGCCTTTCTCAGCAAACACACGGGAGTTGGGAAGTCCCTGCATCGAGCCCGGGCCCTACAGAAGAGGCATGATGACTTTGAAGAGGTGGCTCAGGTGAGATACCATGTATCGTTGTATGTATGCGGTTGGGTGAGGGACCCAATGTCATTGGGTGAAGGAGACCAGGGCCATGTCTTTTGTATTTGGTGAGGTGTGTTGGGTTGATAACCCAGGGCTTCAGGGATGCCTTCCTGTCTGATGCAAGGTATCTTTGTCTGTTCTGAAATCACTATTTTCCAGTGGGAAATAGATGCTCAATTTATTGTCTTCAAAGAAAATCTTCTTGTAGGAGTGGTCTGTAAATGTATTATCTATAAGACAGGGGGAATAGGGAGAAATGACGTTATTATCAATAGAATCATCAATGACCCAAAGATACCACTCATGGTTATTACTGCAGGTAACTGGGAATTAAAAATGAGTACCTATTCAAAGCTATGTACCTTTCAGGACCTGGAAAAAGAAATGATGACCAAGCCATGCATTCACACAACTTAGGTGCCCTGAGAGATTGGCACAATTTTTAATCTGTCTTTTGCACAATGTTCACGTTTTTAGCTAAACTGCACACATCACCACAAAGCTTGCTATTTTCCAATTTGCACAAGGATGTTATGTAGGAGACATTGACCATTTATGTAAGCAGTGGAGTGATACAAGGAGGTTTCTGTCCTGAGCCTCCACCTCAAAAATTTACCTTACTCCTTTCTGTTTGTCTTTTGGGGAGTTTTCCATTTGGGCCCTGAAAATAATCTTCATGATGAAATACTGTTTTCTAGTTGTTTTGAATGTTGCTCATCCATAGTTGTAATTAATTTATGGGTAAATAAGACTCTTAAGAATAAGACAGGTAACAGATAGATGGGGAGGGTGTCAATATAGTGGCAGAGGGGTGGTGGTGCTGATGGACTAGTGGGGGTGACAACACTAGGGTGTACCACATCTTAGCAGGTGCGTGGCTGCTCACCACATCGTCAGTCATCGAAGTGGATACCATACTGGGCTTTGTACAGACCCCCGATCCTCATCCAGAGCTGCCAGCCCCAGGAGTTATGGGTACAAAAGAGGGGGGCCATTTGAGCCCAAGGAATTCTCTGGAGGACAGGAAAGTAGTGTGGGTTTATAGCATCTTGCAGCTGCAAGTTTTCACTGAAAAGTGAGAGGCCTGACAAGAGCAGAAAAGACTGTGTCAGCAGTGACTTGAACTAGGGAAGGTAGCTGGAGCTGACCCAGATTATGGAATAAAGAAAGCCTCATGTGACCTCTTTGTGCATTGTTTGTGGGAATGTAACATGGTGCAGCCTTTGTGAAAAACAGTATGGCCAGCCCTCAGAAAATTAAATGTAGGCCTACTGTGTGACACAGCAATCCCATTTCTGGGTGTATACCTGAAGAAACAAAATCAGGAATTTGGACAGATATTTATATATCCATAACAGCATTATGCACATTATATATATCATAACAGCATTATTCACAATAGCTGAACAGCAGAAGCATCTCAAGTATCTTTGACACGTGAACGAATAAGCAATGTGTGCTGTATACATACTATGGAATATTATCCACTTTTTAAATTGAAGGAAATCTATTACCTGCTATTTAATAGGTAAGCCTTGAAGACATTGTGATATGTAAAGTAATCAAGTCACAAAAGAACAAATATTGTATGATTCCAATTGTGTGAAGCATCTAAGTAGAATAATAAATAATAATAGAAATAATAGAAACAGAAAGTAGAATGGTGGGGCTGGTAGGGATTGTGGGGGAGGACTGGAGAGTTACTGTTTAATGGGTACAGAGTTTCAGTTTTGCAAAATACTCCGGAGATAGATGGTGATAGCTATACAGCAATATGAATGTACTTAATATTTGAATTTAAAATGAATTTTAAAATGATTAAAATGTAAGTTTTATGTCATGTGTATTTTATAAGCACCACAACAAAAGCAAACCTCATAGCTACACATAACCTTCTGCAGAGTCAGTTAAACTATGCCAACCCAATATAGACACAGGATACTAATGTGCCCTTAGTAGACAAGATGTGGATAGTCCAAAATACCTGGGTGGCTAGGGATTTGGGGTGTCTCTCCAGTTTGTTAGGGGTCAATGGATGGGAGAAGGTCACATAACTTACCTGACTGCTGACTGTGGCAGCGGCAGTACCTGGGAAATCTGTTGGAACAGCCCATCACATAGCTTTGGTGTTCCTGTATGTTGGCTGTCCTGTGGCTCAGTCCTGCCTCACGAGGAAGGATGTCACCTCGTTTTATAGATCATGACTCTAAGACGTTGAAAGTTCTACAGTGTGTCCAAGTCATTGGCTTGTCAGTGACTCTGCTGGGACCCAAGCTCAGGTTTCTTTGACTTGAGAGTCATTTTCTTACCCTAGTTTCATGCTTTTCCTCCTTATTGAAGTATAGGAACTGAGTGTAAGATTTATTTTCAAGTGCCAGTTTGCTCTTGGAAAGTGAAGTACAAAAAGCAAGTGTAGGGGTGTGGGGGTTCTGTGTGGCCACCCTGTTAGACATTACTTTTCCCTGATCCTCTACTGAGAATCTCTTGATATAATCCACTTCTCTTTGCCTTTGCTCTTTGATAAAACCATATTTTTGTGAGTTGCTGCTTTCTGAAAGGGCCTTTCTTTTGGTAAGATGGTTTCCCCTAGAACGATCAGCAGGTGTGAACCACAAGTGAGTGACTAAGAAGTGGTCAAAAGGTGACTGAATTGCCCTGTAAAGGCCGCTTCCAGTGGTTCTTATCTGAAATTAATTCTGATTTCTTCCCTCAACCCCCTCTGGGGAAAGTGGGCAGTGGAAGTTCCCAGCATCTTAGAATTAGTAATCCATACAAGAAAATCATCTCTGATCACAGCAAAGGCAGGTGGACTATCATTATGCCTCAGACCTGCTTTGTTCCAGCATCTGTCCCCAATTAACTGAGGAACTTTGGAAGAGAGTGAATGTAATTAGAAATTGGACAACTCTTGAGTTAGTCAGAGGTCAATGACAGAAAGCTAAAGCATGGAAACTCTTGTCCCTTGTTATTTGGGTTGCTGGCTGTAAGATACAGTCAGGAAGATCTTCACACACAGTGTGGAATAAGAGGCTGGGTGAGCCCTCTCAGCAATACTCCAGATAGCCATGATTCTATAGAGGAACCACTTTCAACTTTGGGAGTTTATGATTCTTGGACCCACAGCTGATGTGGCAAGGGAATTCTGGACACTTATTCTTTATATTCCAGTTTTAAAATGATTACAAATTAAGACAGAAAGAAAGCTGTTATATCTGTTACAGCTCCTGGAAATTTGCCCTTCTGAAGGAAAGAACAAGCTGTCAAGCAGAAAAAATTGGTTGAGGGTCTATGTAAAGCCCTTGAACAAATATATCTCCACTTTTGGGACAGTTGGGGGACCTGTGATTCTCACCACTGGTGACTCTTTGGAGTAAGGCTAGCATTAAAATAAACATATCTGAGAAAAATTAATTTAACAACCCACTGTATTTAAAATTTAACTTAGATTTTGTGTTTATTAGCTTTTGAGAACATTTTAAGCAAAATCATCTACAACCATTTGAAAGAAATGGATTAAGTTTCTGAGTCTTCAGTTCATCCTGCAGATGGCACTGTTAGAATAGCCTACATAGAAGCTGAGCTGAATGAGGGGTGGAGTCACTCACCACAGCCTAGCTGGGAATGTTCTAGCTGTGAGGGGCCAGGGGCCGGGATGTCCAAGTCATCTGACACCTCTGTGAGTCTCTCTAGTCCAAGCTCCTGTGATTGTCTATGCTCATATAGAAGACCTGGACACTAACAGGAACTCCTCCTGGTTCTGGTTGATACTTGACTCAGGTTGCCCTAGAGTAAATCAGACACATCTTTAATCTTTATACCTTTTTTTGTGACACATTCAGTATCATTGAGAATATAAACAAGTATAAGATGGAATTGCTTCCATAATCATACTGCTGTCAGGGGATGCATGTATCTATATCTGCCCAGAAGGGAGAATGAGTACTAGAAGATTCCGTCTGGAGATACAAGCTATTACTCACTAGGAGAGAGCTCAGGTGCCTGTGGTTTGGATAGCAGATGTGCTAGCGGTCTGCTTTATGACCTCCTTAGCCGAAATGCCAGATTTCTGTAAACTAGTGATAGCTCAATCGAATATTAGCAAGCACTTACATTTAAATATGTATTATCAAAAGTCTCAAATCACCAAATCATATTTCAGTAGCTAAGTATGTTAAGTAGAATTAATGTAACATTTTTCAAATAGACCATTTAGAGAAAGATTTAAAAGAAATTAGGTACAAATAAGAACTACATTAGGCAATTTCTGGTTAGTTGTCTCCCTGTCTGATCCCTGCTTTGTTTTTTGTTTTTGTTTTTGTTTTTCCCTCAAAGTGAAATCACTATTCCATTAATTAAAACAATTCATTATGAGATGTGAGGCTAAAAAAGGTGAAAGTGGAGGGAAACATTCTGATGGACTTGACTTTGACCCTCAAAAATGTTCAAAGTGTAATCAACTAACCTACCAGAGTTGTAAAGGCAAATAGAATACATCACCTATAGAGATTCCATACAAGGGATAACCTCTGCCCTCAAAGTTGGACTATAACAATTACTAGTTTTCATGTCTGCTCAAGTCTCTATGTGGGGACAATAGAAAATTTAAAGAAACTCCTAGTTTCTGCCTTGAGGAACTCACCAGCTAGTGAAAAATATGCAGCAAACACTCTAACACTTAAGAAGTTCTATAGTGAGAGAAAAGACATAATCTTTGCTCTTTTAGGGTTCTCATATAACAAGATAAACCATTAGTTCACTTGGTGATTCAATAAATATGTCTACTAAGGGGATGGTATAGTGACCTTTGGAGGAAGTTTCATCTTTCTTTTCTTGCCTGAAATGGTGACCAATTATAGCAACTGCAATTGCAAGCAGAGGGAAAAGGTGGGAGAACTAAAATAGATGCTTTTTCACACTCCAGCTTGTTAGAGAATATGAAAAGTACTTAGGCAGGATGAAAAAAAAAATGGCGA